GCCAGAGAATTGAATATTAATTTCTCTACCATAACCCGCCTCCAACCTCATTTTAGAGAATTTGGCAGTACGTCCAACCGACCTCACAACCGCAGGCATCGTGTGGGGGCGAGCGGATTGTGGATGTTGACATTGTGAACAGAGGGCCCCATGGTGGCGGTGGGATTATGGTATGGGCAGGCATAAGCTACGGACAACGAACAGAATTGCATTTTATCGATGGCAATTTGAATGCACAGAGATACCGTGACGAGATCCTGATGCCCATTTCATGCAATTCATCCGCTGCCATCACCTCATGTTTCAGTATTATAATGCACTGCCCCATGTCGCAAGGATCTGTACACAAATCCTGGAAGCTGAAAATGTTCCAGTTCTTCCATGGCCTGCATACTCACCAGACATGTCACCCATTGAGCATGTTTGGGATGCTCTGGATCGACATGTACGACAGCGTGTTCCAGTTCCCGCCAATATCCAGCAACTTTGCACAGCCATTGAAGAGGAGTGGGACAACATTCCACAGGCCACAATCAACAGCCTGATCAACTCTATGCGAAGGAGATGTGTCGTGCTGCATGAGGAAAATGGTGGTCACACCAGATACTGACTGGTTTTCTGATCCACGCCCCTACCTTTTTTTTAAGGTATCTGTGACCAACAGATGCATATCTGTATTCCCAGTCAAGTGAAATCCATAGATTAGGGCCTAATGAATTTATTTCAATTGACAGATTTCCTTATATGAACTGTAACTCAGTAAATCTTTGAAATTGTTGCATGTTGCGTTTATATTTTAGTTCAGTATAATTGAAATTGTGATGGTGAGCAAAATATACACTTTTGATTTCACCTAATTTTAACATTCTGTCATAAAGAGCACATGTTCAATTTTATAAAAAACAAGTTCTCATTAAAACTTGTTTTTCAACTACTCCACAAATTTCTTGTTAACAAACTATAGTTTTGGCAAGTCGGTTAGGACATCTACTTTGTGCATGACACAAGTAATTTTTCCAACAATTGTTTAGACAGATTATTTCACTCATAATTCACTGTATCACAATTCCAGTGGGTCCGAAGTACATACACTAGGTTGACTGTGCCTTTAAACCGCTTGGAAAATTCCAGAAAATTAGGTTATGGCTTTAGAAGCTTCTGATAGGCTAATTGACATACTTTGAGTCAATTGGAGGTGTACCTGTGGATGTATTTCAATGCTTACCTTCAAACTCAGTGCCTCTTTTCTAGACATCATGGGAAAATCAAAAGAAATCAGCCAAGACCTCAGAAAAAAATGTGTTGACCTCCACAAGTCTGGTTCATCCTTGGGAGCAATTTCCAAACGCCTGAAGGTACCACGTTCATCTGTACAAACAATAGTACGCAAGTATAAACACCATGGGACCACACAGCCGTCATACCGCTCAGGAAGGAGACGCGTTCTGTCTCCTAGAGATGAACGTACTTTGGTGCGAAAAGTGCAAATCAATCCCAGAACAACAGCAAAGGACCTTGTGAAGATGCTGGAGGAAACAGGTACAAAAGTATCTATATCCACAGTAAAACGAGTCCTATATCGACATAACCTGAAAGGATGCTCAGCAAGGAAGAAGCCACTGCTCCAAAACCGCCATAAAAAAGACAGACTATGGTTTGCAACTGCACATGGGGACAAAGATTGTACTTTTTGGAGAAATGGAAGGCTACCCGAAACGTTTGACCCAAGTTCAACAATTTAAAGGCAATGCTACCAAATACTAATTGAGTGTATGTAAACTTCTGACCCACTGGGAATGTGATGAAATAAATAAAAGCTGAAATAAATAATTATCTCTACTATTATTCTGACATTTCACATTCTTAAAATAAAGTGGTGATCCTAACTGACCTAAGACTGAATTTTAACTGTGATTAAATGTCAGGAATTGTGAAAAACTGAGTTTAAATGTATTTGGCTAAGGTGTATGTAAACTTCTGACTTCAAGTGTAGGTATTGTGCTTCCAATGAGTGGTATTATATGGCTCTACAGTGGATGGGTAAAAATCTGGAAAAAGTCTAGTTAAATCAGCCATGAATCTCCTTGTGACAGGGGGAATGGAAGCTTGTTGTGTGCAACATTTCTAGCCTGTCTATCTATGGGTAACAGGGTTGACGTGTTATGGTCGACCCGCTTAGTTTTTCACCAGAAAATTGCCAAAAAGAGTAAAACCAGCTCATCTGCTTTTACACTGATTTGACTATTAGATGTTCAATGTTTCTTTTGAAATAACTATTTAAAAAGGAATACTTTTAAATATTTCACATGTATCCTATAACATTTCTTAAAATATATATTTTAAATGTATTTTTTTTCCGTTTGGGGCTGTCTGATCTGTAAAACCCTCTTGGCTCTGAGATGGCTATAGTTAGTAAGTTGTCTTTTCTCAGGGAGTGAGTGTGCTGCTGCAGTCCTGTCCCCTTGCTATAGAGTTTGATGGTTCCTCTCCCTCTTATTTCCTTTCCTATCTGTTCCTTTCTTCTCCTTTCTTTTCCTATCCTCTCCTTTCCGTTCCTTTCCTTTCATCTCTTGTCCAGTCCTGTCCTCTCCTCCCTGAGTTGTATGTCTCTAGCCCAGCCAGACCAGCCAGTCAGGTATGAGAACAGCAGGCGCTGTGGAGTCCGGAGGCTGCAGGCAGGAAGTGGAGGATTTCCTGGAATGTGCCTTTTTCCCCACAGTGGAGCAATAACGGCGCTGTGCACCTCCTGTTTTTGTCCCGCTCCACTCCACGCTGCTGATCCCTGTCCTGGTTCTGTAGCAGGGAGACGGAGGGGAGGATGGGGGAGAGTAACGTGGGTCCCCAAGAGGGAAGGCTGGAGGCCGGGTGTCCAGGGGTCAAGCCAGGGGGAGAGCTGACCCCTCTGTGCAGTCCCCTAGTCTGTGCTGTGTATTTAACATCTCAGATCTCAGGAAGAACAGCACCCCTACTCTGGCCCCTCAGACAAACAAACCTCCTTTTCCACAGAGACTTGCTCTGGACTATAAGATCTGTTGGAGCAGCAGTAGGATCTTAGTACTGTAAATCAACCAGATAGATGACTTTATTTATCATCCCCAAGCAGCTGACGTAGTACAAGTCTCTTATTTCATCAGAACACTGCAGCTGGGCAATTCCACGGTAACAAAGTGACACTGAGACTCTGATTTTTCACTTTAAAATGTATGTCAAACTAAAACCATGGATTGCAAAGTTAACAAACCATACAACTCTGTGCACAAGGACTACTTTTAACAATTTCCACAGACAATTTTACAAAAACACATTTACTTGATGAACAATGCAGATGTAAAGTTTGGTAACAGAATGACAGTTTGTGCTGTTTTTCTGTTACCATTCTCTTGACATAACATTTTAAAGTGAAAAACACAGTCTCAGTGTCACTCTGTTACCGTGGAATTTCCCAGCAGCAAACTGCGTCCATTGCACCATAGATCTTACCCCTCTCTCTCTGCATCCCAAACCAACTCCTTGTGAAATGGAAGATGTGTCCTCATCGGTCCAGTTGATCTGAGCCGTGCCTGTCACTTTGACAGAAGGAGTGTTGTGAGCAGAAGGATGACATCATTCCCCTCTGAGAGCAACACAACTGTCCCCAGGGGAAAGCCAGGGGTCACAACCTTTCCCATTGCCTGTCAATTCTTCCCAGACCCATGGAGACTGATGTGGATGGTGGGTCAGGCCAGCCTGGGAACTGGCCTCCAGACAGGGTACACAGGGCTTCCCTGGACCCCTGACCCTCCAGGCAGGCAGCCTCTGGCCCCTGGCCCCACCTGCAGCCACCCTGGACTGGGCTGTTTGGGGGCCAGTGACACCGTGGCTGGCCTGTACGTGTTTGGGCACCAACTGACACTGTGTGTGATGTGTGTGATGCTGTTTGACATGTGTTGCATGGGCCAGTGTATGAGAGTCAGAGGACATGGGCCACGGCATGGCCAGCCTACTCTCCCACAGAGAGAAACCCCTCACAGGGCTCCTATTGTCCACTAGCAGCCTAGTCCTACTAGTACAGTACATGGCTCACTCAGTGCATTGTGTGGGCCTGGGTGGCTGAAGGTATTACATGAAACATACTGCTATTGATCATCCTAATAGCTTCATAAAACTCTCTAAATGTTTGACCACCTTCTGATTTCCATCTCTCCACTGACTCACACAAGTGGTTGACTACGTGTACAAACACATACACAGTGGAACAGTTGTTGACTATTCTCACACACATACACTATTCACATAAAACAATACACAGTAGTGACTGCATCGCCAGCCTTCCTTGCATTGTCTCACTCTAACTGGACAATCTGGCTTAAAGGTCCAATGCAGACGTTTTTATCTCAATAACAAATCATTTCTGGGTAATAATTAAGTACATTACTGTGATTGTTTTCAATTAAAATGGTCAAAAATAAACACAAATAGCTTCTTAGCAAAGATACATTTCTCAAGCAATAATTTTGGTAGGACTGTCTGGAGTAGGGAATAAACTGAAAGCTATCTGTTTTTGGTTTGGAACTCCCTTTCTTATTGGTCTATTAACTAATTAACCTCCTGGTGATGTCACCAGGCAGGCCAAAACTCCATCCCACAAAAACAGGCTGAAATTTGAGGGTGATCTTTTCAAACAGCTTTTACACTAAAAGGGCATTATCATGGGCCCTGTGTAGCTCAGTTGGTAGAGCATGGTGCTTGCAATGCCAGGGTTGTGGGTTCGTTTCCCACGGGTGGCCAGTATGAAAATGTATGCACTCACTAACTGTAAGTCTCTCTGGATAAGAGCATCTGCTAAATGACAAAAATGTAAATCATCATTTTCACGTTTTTTTTATTTCATTGGGCATTTAATCACAAGCATCCATGCATAATTTCCACAAAAATCTCAGTAGTGGCAAAAATGTTATTTTAGGATTTTTCTCTATTTTGTCAGATTGTATCTTTCACACAATGTCCCTTAAAAATGAAAAATGTTATGGGATAAGAGGAGGGGTTATGTGGAGGACCACGAGTGCAGTGAGCGGAGCACAACAATTCAACAGCGGGACGAAGGAAGAGGAGAGATTGAAAGAGAGGAGGAGGAGGAGGAGGAGGATTTGAAAGAGGGGGGCAACACAAACAAGAGAGCTGTGACTGATTGTGTGTGTGTAGTGGAGGAGAACATATTTTACAGCGCAGGACCGCGCCGTATGTCGCTTGGAACTGGAAACATTTATTGCCTGGGTGGACTGTTAGCATCTTCTGATGCTGTCCGCGGACCATGAGAGAAGCGCTGACAATGAGATTCGCCTGGAAAGCTAAAATGGTAAAAAGTTACTCTGTTTTCTGTGCTGCACACTGTTGTTGATTTTGCGGTTTGAGAGTGAGCTTTTTGAGAGGCTGGGAAGGGAGCGGATAAAGGAAAGGAGGAGGGGGCAGCGCGGGGGATACATTTGAACATTTAGTTGTATTTGTTTTCTCGCCCTCGACGCCATCGTGGTGTACTTTAAATAGTATTTATTCATCTCCTGCGCTTAAACGTTTTGCGTAAAGACGCGCTCTGGAAATTGTACTCTGGCCTAATTTCATAGTTCGTTTTTCGCTGTACACATAAAACACTATTGTCTCTGAGCCGAGAGTGAAATGATCACTGAGGCGAGCTCTCTACCGGTCTTAGTTGCGTCTGGAGCTATCTGAGCACAAAGCCAACACCAGATCAGCCCAAAGAGTTGACACCGTTGTTGTTATCTTGAGCGTATTCTTGTCACACATAGGTAATAAAACCAGTTATGTGATGTGGTCCTCTGTAGCTCAATTGGTAGAGCATGGCGCTTGTAACGCCAGGGTTAGTGGGTTCGATCCCCGGAACCACCCATACGTAAAAATGTATGCACACGACTGTAAGTCGCTTTGGATAAAAGCCTCTGCTAAATGGCATATTATATTATATTATGTTGCCAGTAGGGGATCGAATAAATACTGCTTCTATATTTGCCCGAGCAAATAGTCTCTTCTGTAGTCTGCATCCCACCTCCACTGGATTGCAACATCCTTCCAAACTGAAGCCTGTCCAGCAAGTCTGACATTTGAGTTGATATCTTGGGGCCATTTAATACTTGGTCCACAAAGCAGGCAGACTTTTAAACCCCAGCCTGAAAAAAAATTCTGCCTAGCACAAAGAGCAGTCTCTGTGCACATACCATGGACTCAGCAGGCTGGGCAAGTGAGCAGAAAGACCTCATGCTATTGGTTTGGAGTGGACTGGACTACATAACTCACTAAGTTAAGTATTTAACTCTCAGAGGCAGCACTGTACAGGAAATGAATGGGAAATACATACATGCTGGGCCGTTTTTATCTCCTGTACTCAGTTACTCCTCTGCGGCCCTCTTGCTCTCTTTTTCTTTCCACCAGAGCTCATTGCCACCACATACTGTTTATCAGTGCCTGACTGTGATTGTTTGGGGTGGGTTCCCTGCCTGGCCCTCTGTGCTCTGTTTTTGTTAGAACCCAAACAGCCACCCACAACCGCCCTGGGCTAAGCGCCATTGGCCTTCAGAGCTGGCCATTGAGCCTGTTAACAGCAAGCCGTGACCTTTAACTCTAGCTGCCACCAGAGAGTGGACTTTGCCATTGTCCTGCTGTTGTGACGCTGGTGGAAAGTGAGAGTGTGGACTTGGCTGGAGTGCGCTGTCATCTAAACAGCTCCTCTTTATGGGATTAAAATAAGCCCTGGTCGCCGTCACACTGCATGTGGATCTGTTGGCTGCCTTCCTCCCTGACTGGGCAGATTTTTGAATTTGAGAGAGTGAACTGCTGTTCTGTGTCTGTGTGCTCTGCATAGCTGAGAGGCAGTGTGTCGCCAATACGTATTCAGAGCCAGAGAGTAGAGACTGCTCTGTGAGGATCGGTAAGATTCTGTTTGTGGATTCTGTTTGTGTGTGTGGATCAGAGAGTGTGTGTGTGGAGGGGGGAGTACGGGTCGAGAGCTTTAACTTCCTCGGTGTCCAAATCACTAAGGACTTAAAATGGTCCACTCACACGCACAGTTGTGAAGAAGGCGCTACAGCTCCTCTTCCCCCTCAGGAAGTTGAAAAAGTTTGGCATGGGCCCTCAAATCCTCAAAAAGTTATACAGCTGCACCATTGAGAGCATCTTGACTGGTTGCATCACTGCCTGGTATGGCAACAGCACCGCCCTCGATCGCATGGCGCTACAGAGGGTGTTGCGGACAGCCCAGTACATCACTGGGGCTGAGCTCCCTGCCATCCAGGACCTCTATATCAGCCGGTGTGAAAGGAAGGCCCGGAAAATCTTTATGGCTTGGGTGGCTGGAGTCTTTAGACTGTTCTCTCTGCTTCCGCACGGCAAGCACTACCGGTGCATCAAGTCTGACACAAACAGGCTCCTGAACAGCTTCTATCCCCAAGCAATACAACTGCTAAAGGAATGGCTACACAGACTGAGTTGACCCTTGTATTTTATTTGTGCACTGTCTCTATGCACACTCACAGGACTCCAACTCCAACACACACATAACATGCACACATATTTATACTGACTCTATGCACACACAGTCACATACAATCATCATTTACACTGCTGCTACTCTGTTTATCATATATCCTGATGCCTAGTCACCTTCCCCTATACATACACTATATGTACAAAAGTATGTGGACACCCCATCAAAACCCCATCCAACACCTTTGGGATCAATTGGAACGCAGACTGCGAGCCAGGCCTAATCGCCCAGCATTAGTACCCGACCTTACTAATGCTCTTGTGGCTGAATGGAAGCAAGTCCCCACAGCAATGTTCCAACATCTAGTGGAAAGCCTTCCCAGAAGAGTGGAGGCTGTTTTATAGCAGCAAAGGGGGGACCAACTCCATATTAATGCCCATGATTTTGGAATGAGTTGTTCGACTTGCAGGTGTCCACATACATTTTGTAATGTAGTGTGTGTGTGTGTGTATATATATATATATAATCCCACTACATTAAAAAAATGTTTTACTGCTTGACTAAAGAAATCTCGGTTGACCAACAGCCTATCGACCAGTCGACTAAATGGGGTCAGCCCTAATATACTGTATGCATGCATGGTGTACAAGACACCTGTTTGATTCACGCCTGTCTGAGTGGACTAATCCATTGTGGAGGCCGTGGGGATGGCACAGTCCATCACCACTAAGACATGCTTCTGAAATTGTATGTGGTTATATTACATAAGAACAATGGTGCAACACTAATAAAATAATATTATTTTAGAACAAATGCGCTTTCTCCCGAGTTGGATAGCGGTCGCTGTCCGCAGTTCTGAAACATCAGTGCACTGTTGAATTGGCGCCTTTTCCTAGACCATGTTGCTATGTGCATAATAGCAAAGTTAACCAGCATATTGGTGTTGAGAACAATGCGGCGGAGGCAGCAGTGGAGTTAATAGATGAGAAAACAGCACTTGCCTTAATTGTCTAAGAAAAGTGAGGAGAGCGGAAACGCCAACTTAATTAGGTCTATAACCAATAGCATAACTGTTAAATGTGCCTGGCTTTATAAATCGTCCATACAGTGAGGGGAAAAAGTATTTGATCCCCTGCTGATTTTGTACGTTTGCCCACTGACAAAGACATGATCAGTCTATAATTTTAATGGTAGGTTTATTTGAACAGTGAGAGACAGAATAACAACAACAAAAATCCAGAAGAAACGCATGTCAAAAATGTTAGAAATTGATTTGCATTTTAATGAGGGAAATAAGTATTTGACCCCTCTGCAAAACATGACTTAGTACTTGGTGGCAAAACCCTTGTTGGCAATCACAGAGGTCAGACGTTGCTTGTAGTTGGCCACCAGGTTTGCACACATCTCAGGAGGGATTTTGTTCCACTCCTCTTTGCAGATCTTCTCCAAGTCATTAAGGTTTCGAGGCTGACGTTTGGCAACTCGAACCTTCAGCTCCCTCCACAGATTTTCTATGGGATTAAGGTCTGGAGACTGGCTAGGCCACTCCAGGACCTTAATGTTCTTCTTCTTGAGCCACTCCTTTGTTGCCTTGGCTGTGTGTTTTGGGTCATTGTCATGCTGGAATACCCATCCACGACCCATTTTCAATGCCCTGGCTGAGGGAAGGAGGTTCTCACCCAAGATTTGACGGTACATGGCCCCGTCCATCGTCCCTTTGATGCGGTGAAGTTGTCCTGTCCCCTTAGCAGAAAAACACACCCAAAGCATAATGTTTCCACCTCCATGTTTGATGGTGGGGATGGTGTTCTTGGGGTCATAGGCAGCATTCCTCCTCCTCCAAACACGGCGAGTTGAGTTGATGCCAAAGAGCTTGATTTTGGTCTCATCTGACCACAACACTTTCACCCAGTTCTCCTCTGAATCATTCAGATGTTCATTGGCAAACTTCAGACGGCCCTGTATATGTGCTTTCTTGAGCAGGGGGACCTTGCGGGCACTGCAGGATTTCAGTCCTTCACGGCGTAGTGTGTTACCAATTGTTTTCTTGGTGACTATGGTCCCAGCTGCCTTGAGATCATTGACAAGATCCTCCCGTGTAGTTCTGGGCTGATTCCTCACCGTTCTCATGATCATTGCAACTCCACGAGGTGAGATCTTGCATGGAGCCCCAGGCCGAGGGAGATTGACAGTTCTTGTGTGTTTCTTCCATTTGCGAATAATCGCACCAACTGTTGTCACCTTCTCACCAAGCTGCTTGACGATGGTCTTGTAGCCCATTCCAGCCTTGTGTAGGTCTACAATCTTGTCCCTGACATCCTTGGAGAGCTCTTTGGTCTTGGCTCATAATCTCAGCTCGTTACCTGTATAAAAGACACCTGGGAGCCAGAAATCTTTCTGATTGAGAGGGGGTCAAATACTTATTTCCCTCATTAAAATGCAAATAAATGTATAACATTTTTGACATGCGTTTTTCTGGATTTTGTTGTTGTTATTCTTTCTCTCACTGTTCAAATAAACCTACCATTAAAATGATAGACTGATCATTTCTTTGTCAGTGGGCAAACGTACAAAATCAGCAGGAGATCAAATACTTTTTCCCCTCACTGTATACGTTACTAGTCAAAAGTGTGGACACACCTACTCATTCCAGGGTCTTTCTTTATTTTTACTATTTTCTACATTGTAGAATAATAGTGAAGACATCAAAACTATGAAATAACACATATGGAATTATGTAGTAACCAAAAAAGTGTTAAACAACATATATTTTATATTTGCCTTGATGACAGCTTTGCACACTCTTGGCATTCTCTCAACCAGCTTCATGAGGTAGTCACCTGGAATCCATTTCAATTAACAGGTGTGCCTTCTTAAAAGTTAATTTAAGGAATTTCTTTCCTTCTTAATGCGTTTGAGCCAATCAGTTGTGTTGTGACAAGGTAGGGTGGGTATACAGAAGATAGCCCTATTTGGTAAAAGACCAAGTCCATATTATGGCAAGAACAGCTCAAATAAGCAAAGTGAAACAACAGTCCATCATTACTTTAGGACATGAAGGTCAATCAATACGGAACATTTCAAGAACTTTGGAAGTTTCTTCAAGTGCAGTCGCAAAAACCATCAAACGCTATATGATGAAACTGGCTCTCATGAGGACCACCACAGGAATGGAAGACCCAGAGTTAACTCTGCTGCAGAGGATAAGTTCATTCGAGTTACCAACCTCAGAAATTGCAGCCCAAATAAATGCTTCACAGAATTCAAGTAACAGACACATCTCAACATCAACTGTTCAGAGGAGACTGTGTGAATCAGGCCTTCATGGTCTGGGGGTGCTTTGCTGGTGACACTGTTTGTGATTTATTTAGAATTCAAGGCACACTTAACCAGCATGGCAACCACAGCATTCTGCAGCGATACACCGTCGCATCTTGTTTGGGCTTAGTGGGACTATCATTTCTTTTTTAACAGGACAATGACCCAACACACCTCCAGGCTGTGAACGGGCTATTTTACCAAGAAGGAGAGTGATGGAGGGCTGCATCAGATGACCTGGCCTCCACAATCCCCCGACCTCAACCCAATTGAGATGGTTTGGGATGAGTCGGACCGCAGAGTGAAGGAAAAGCAGCCAACAAGTGCTCAGCATATGTGGGAACTCCTTCAAGACTGTTGGAAAAGCATTCCAGGTGAAGCTGGTTGAGAGAATGCCAAGAGAGTGCAAAGCTGTCACCAAGGCAAAGGGTGGCTATTTGAAGATTTTCAAATATAAAATATAGTTTGATTTGTTTAACACTTTTTTGGTTACTACATGATTTCGTAAGTGTTATTTCATAGTTTTGATGTCTTCACTATTATTCTACAATGTAAAAAAATAGTAAAAATAAAGAAAAGCCCCTGAATGAGTAGGTGTGTCCAAACTTTTGACTGGTAGTGTATGTATATTCCGTACTCTGACATCGCTCATTCTGATATTGCTTTATTTTTTATTTATTTTTTTACATTTGGGATTGTGTGTGTATTGTTTTGTTAGGTATTACTGCTCTGTTGTTGCTAGAAACACAAACATTTTGCTGCACCTGCGATAACATTTGCAAATGTGTGTACTTGACCAATAAGCTTTGATTTGATTTGTGGTCCTGTGTTCTAATCTAGAGGATGGTTTGTCTTTGTGTTAACAGCTCATTATGGCTCTCCCACAGAGCTCTGTGCAAGACCGGGGGGAGGAAGTGGAGGAGGGGGCCATATACAACGTGACACTGAAGAAGGTCCAGATCCAGCAGGCTGCCAACAAGGGAGCAAGATGGCTGGGGGTGAGTGGACCAGTCTGCTCTTTCACAACACACTGATTGAAAGCACACAAACTTGAGAACTTGTGAGAGACCTTGTCAGGCTCAAACAATAACCCTGCTGAATGCATTATGTCCATAGACAGATGTAATCTTTCCATTAGAGAATTGATTATATAAACACCAGTTGAACAAGGCAACATTGGACAGATTGTATTACTTTGCAGAGTTATGTAAGTCTATAGGCCAGTTCATTGTGAAAGGTGTATGGCAATAGTTTTATCGATAGAGCTTGGCAGCTTCATTGTAAGATACAGTAATACCAATTTGCAATCACAGGGCATCTCTCAGCATTGTGTTGCAGGTCTGTTGTTTTAACATTTCAACTGTTGCTTTTTCCCATTTTGGCCAACACCCTGAGCAGGCCATACAAAAAACAACAGTTTCCTGATTTGCCGGTTCCAACTGCCACCATAATTCTTCTTTCCCTGCATGTTGCATCCTGTACAAGCAAAGCAAATAGAGGAGTACAACTACTCTACATTATCACATGACAGTACATATCCTGAGTACTTGTTTAATGGAGCATTATCCAGGCCCTGAGTGGGAGTAAGTGGGAGTTCTGTATATATGACCCACCGGCTCGATTCGGTCTTATGTAGCAATATTTTAAATTGTTTTTTACATTAGATAAAAGTATAGACTCAGAGCTGGAAAATTGTATATCATACACTACATTTGATTTATTTTTATTTTTATTTTTTGGGGGTAGATCAGCTTAATATTGCAGATACATTGATGGAAGTTACAATCTAATTGTCTGCATCACTTCCAATCCCCCATGTTTTTTATATATATACACACACACACATACACACACATACATACACACATACATACACATACATATCCTTTAAAAATATATATATATTCCCCTTTATTACTTTCCAACCCGGCCACCCTTTCCCTACTTGGAGTAAACTAGTGAACAACAATGCTTAGGCCTCTACTTCCAGCTTATACTTACTATCTACATTTTATGGACACAGTCAATTTTACAATAATTATATTTTGTTTGTTTTTTCTCCTGAACTTCTTCTACTCTCAACCTCTCCGATCATTTTCATGATGTCCATCCGGTTTGCTTCTATATGCCATATCTTTCTAACTGTGCTCTTTCACAAAAGCTCCCAACCTACAAGCTATATACTTATTATGGACACAGTATGCTTACATTATTAGTTATCTTGTTATTATTTGTTGTTAGTTGTTATTAGTCCCATCCTTCAATTCCATTCAACACCTCCCATCTATCTCTTAACACCATCCATATATGATTTCTATTTGCCATATATATTTCAACTGTTCTGTGATGTCTTACAAAAGTTCTGAACCTTTCTATTCTCATTGTTTCTACAGATTGTGAATTGAAAATAAACATTTTTGCTAAAAGTATTATTATATTATTGATCGATTGACTTTTCAGATCACCCAGTAGTGCTATCTGCAAGGTTAGCTCCAGGTAAATATTGCAATCCTTTAGCCATTCCTGGACCTGTGTCCAAAAACAAGCTACAAATGGACAGTACCAAAACAAATTATCTAATGATTCTGTCTCTTCGCAGCAAAATCTGCAGAGCTGGGAAGATTGTATCCTCCATATAAATAACATTCTATTGGTAGCAAGAATTTTATATAATAATTTAAATTGAAAGATTCTAAGTTTTGAATCCGGTGTCGTTTTGCGTATCAGTTCATAAACACTATGCCATGGGATCGGTACGTCAAAATCTCTTCCCAACTATTTTGCAATCTATATGGGACGGCTGTCAATCCTTTGGTCCTTAAATGTAACTGATACTCATACACTACAGTTGAGGAACAATGGGAAAGTAATTCTGCTTTGAAAGTTGATAAACTTGTAACCCCACTTTTGAGAAAATGGCTTTGAATGTTTTGGTACACCTTCTGGAGAGCTCTTCTGTCACGCCCTGGCTCTAGGGACTCTTTTAAGTTGAGCCAGGGTGTGTAGAGTTTATGTTTTGTGCTCGTTGTGTCTGTTCTAGTTTTGTAGTTCTATGTTGGCCAGTGTGGTTCTCAATCAGAGGCAACGTGTATCAGCTGTTGCTTGTTGTCTCTGATTGGGAACCATACTTAAGCAGCCAGTTTTCCCACAGTGTTTGTGGGATCTTGTTCCTGTGTAGGTTTGTGTTTTGCAGCTTTGGACGTCACGTATCGATTTGTTGTTTTTGTTCGTGTAATCATTATTTAATAAATATGTTCACCTTCCACGCTGCGCCTTGGTCCTCTGTATCCGACGATCGTGACATCTTCTTTGTCTACAACCATTCAGCATCGTTCACACCCTCTTAAACCATAGCCCCACCCATCTCTTTAAGGATTCACATGTGAGGCCATGTGCTAAACAAAGTCAGTACGGTAGTGTACTAAACAAACAAAGATTCTAAAGACTAAAGGCTGGTTTATACTACGTCTATCGACATGTCTGTAGACAGTTGTCGCAGTGACATCATGAACATTCTATTGTCGTCATTCTGAAAAAGTCTAAACACAAAAACGACATGCTGAATGACATCAGCAGCCTGGGGTCCAAAATAGCATAACTGGAGTATTTTAACACCAATAACCCATTCGTTTAGAAACTAATTTAGTATATGTTAATCTAGCAAACCAGGCAACTAAAAGCAACTTTCTAAACAATGTTTTGGTTCGTTTCTAGCTTGTTAGCTAGCTAAAGTTAAGTTAGCTGGCTAGCCAGTTCAAATAATGACCATATCATAGCTGACAACGCCTTAACTTTAGCAAATTTGTATTCATTATTACAGGAATATAAACTTGTAACAAGATCATTATTTACAAGTTAATGGCGAGCTAATTACAGAAAATAGTTTACGGTTGTGAGTGTGACTAAATTAAAGCAGGGCATTCTACCGGAGAATTTTAGAACTTGGACACTGTCTCGTTGGCCTAAAACTATATCCTAATTTGACTTTGGTGCAGGTCATGTTGTTCTTTACATTACCGTCTCTGGTATACACACACTATATCAAATGAAATCAAAGTTTATTCATCACATGCACAGGATACAGAAGGTGTAAATGGTACAGTGAAATGGTTACTTGCATAGTGGAGTCTTTTGTTTAGACATCTAGCTAGCTAGCAAAACAATGAACCATAATCCCAACTCATAACGTTACTACCATGCATGACTCTGCAGGTAGCTAAAGCTAACCAACTAGTTTCAATGTTAGCTAGCTAACTAACATTAGGCTATAACTAGCAATGCAAATGGGCTTCTGAGATACATTTTACATTTTAGTCATTTAACAGACGCTCTTATCCAGAGCGACTTACAGTTAGTGAGTGCATAAATTTTTCATACTGGCCCCCCGTGGGAATCGAACCCACAACCCTGGCGTTGCAAGCGCCATGCTCTACCAACTGAGCAACTGACTTGTACCACCTTTCAACGAAAAGGAGATGGATGTACAGTACCGGTCAAAAGTTTGGACACCTACTCATTCAAGTGTTTTTCTTTATTTTTACTATTTTCTACATTGTAGAATAATAGTGAAGACATCAAAACGATGAAATAACACATATGGAATCACGTAGTAACCAAAAAAAGTGTTAAACAAATCAAAATATATTTGAGATTCTTCAAAGTAGCCACCCTTGGCCTTCATGACAGCTTTGCACACTCTTGCAAGGTCGCTTTTTAGGCCCTTAGCCTATAAGTGAAAACAAATTTGTAAACTGGATTACATCATCGCCACACCGGAGCGCAGGACAAAAAACCTGGCTGTATCATGTCAACATGTTGAAACCATACAAATAATATTACTACACGCAACGTTAGCTAGAGATCCAGCCAGCTAACGTTAGCTAGCTAGTTTACAGTAAGCTTTAACTTGCAATGAAAACGACTTTCTGACAAAATTAGAAATGTGTAATATCTGAAAATGTAGCTTGCTAGATTCTCTTACCCATATACATGGATAAACACTTCTCCCTCTCTGTCACGGATGCCATGGTTGCCCTGTTTGAAGATGTAATCCGGAGACAGGTGTTTTATACAACAGCCTTCTGTGTGTTTTCTTTTCAACTCCATCCGCATATTTGCAATCAAACTCCCAAACTTTCTACATCTCCTTAGCTATCATACTCTGCTTCCACCGGGCATTCCACTGATTTCAAAACTCGGTCATCTTCTTCCGTGACAACAACATTGTTGATCGCCGTTTCAGAAGACTCTACAATGTCTGGTTCAATAAAAATGTTTTTACCTAAATCAGGGATTTCCTCATCGTCTGATTCATTTTCAGAGTCAGAGAGAGTCAGCATGGCACGATTGTCCTCCAGAAAGTGGAGAGCATTAGCAACACTTTTGCAGTTTTTTGTGATATCTTTCAAAAAAGCTGCGTTAGAAAGGATTACCTACACATACTGAGCAGCTCGTGTTATAGACCGAAGCATGCTACATGGCAGACCAATCCGAATTCATCTCTCTGCATGTCCAGCCCATCTATTATCTCTCAGCCAATCATGGCTAGTCTTTTTCCATGGCTAAACCAACTAGGCACGTAATTTAACAATTGTATTTGTATTTACAGATGGCATACAAGTTTGTTATTAAGACACATGAAAGTTCACATGTTCCAGAGAGCATTTCTGCCAGAAAAGCAATTTTGATAAAAAAAATTATGTTTACGTTCAAATGCCTCCTGTGAAGTAGTGACGAGACATATGCCTAGTTTCCTGAAACGAGTTACATATGAGTAAGCCAGTGAAAGCAAGACATTGTCTGTCCTGTTAGTTGTCTTTCTGTGGTTGTTGTTGATTGTAATCCCCTCATTTGTTTAGTGGGAAAGCAAGATAACGTAAACGGTGAGCCACACTGGTGCTTTGTTTGTTGTGGCATTGCCCATAGGGTGCCATCAGAAGAAATGTTATACAAATGCATATACAGTGTGAATGTACATGTATATTTTTGCTACTCAACAGTCAGTACATTTCCAGTGGATAGATTTTTGCCAGAGAGCAGTGCTGACTGAGAGTAAAGAGCTAGTTGGAGTTGGACTGAGTGCTGTCCTCTTTGCCTCCCTCTTTGAGCCAGAGGACAGGGTGAAAGAGGGGCGCGCCGTTCCATGATTAGAAGCAGATTGGAGGGTTTCCTATTGTAGCATGCTAGCAGCACCAAGTTTTCCCTTCCTTTTTTTTTCTCTCTCTCACTCCCTTCTCTCTCCCCTCATTCTTCCTAACAGACACCATACTCGGACACATCTGCTTAAGAATTAAATATAGAGTGCCCTTTGTCTCACCACCTCTCCGTCTGTCCCTCCAACTCCCTCTCCCCCATTCTCATCATTCTAATATCCCTGGTTCTTTCCATCTTATCGCATCACAGGTGGAGGGAGACCGGCTGCCTCCCGGCCACACTGTGAGCCAGCTGGAAACCTGTAAGATCCGGAGTATCCGGGCGGGAACACTGGAGCGTCTGGTGGAGACCCTGCTGATTGCGTTTGGGGACAATGACCTCACCTACACCAGCATATTCCTGTCCACATACCGCGCCTTCACCAGCACGCACACCGTGCTGCAGTTGCTGCTAGACAAGTACGTCTGGTTCTGGGCTGGGGGCCCGTGGTGGCTGGAGTGTACAGCAGGAGCTGACAACTCCTGGTCCTGGTGGGCCCTAGTGTGTGCAAGCTTTTGTCCCAGCCATAGTGCTATAACACCTGGTTCAAATAATCATCTAATCAACATGATTTTGATGAAGTCAATTGTATGTGTAAGTGTTGGGCTGGGACAAAGCTTGTACAGACTGTGGCTCTCCAGAACCATGGTTGAAGAACACTACTGCTCTACATTGAGAGGCTGAGGAGACTGTTACTGGTCTCACTGCTTTTACAGACTGATGGTAGACATTGCTGCTGAAATGTTGTTTTCTCTTGGTCTTTCTCTCAGGTATGGAATCCCAGAGGATAGAGGACAGACTGAGCGATGTAGACCCTTTGAAACCAAAGGAGCCATTCGAACGTACGATTTCTCAACGTCTCCTACTTGCTCTTTACTTAGTCTGTCTGTCTTTCCATATGGATTCAAGTGGAATTGTTGTTGAGTTGTTACTGTGTAGCTCCCCAGTCTGCCTTGCTATCTGTCAGCAGCAGCTTGCTCCCAGCAGCCCTCCCTGACTATCTGCCCCCCTCCCTCATCACCCTCAGTGCCCTGGCCTCCATCCTGCGAGTCTGGCTGGACCAGTGTCCAGAGGACTTCCAGGAGCCTCCATCCTACCCCTGCCTCCAGAGGGTGATGACCTACCTACAGAGGACCCTGCCTGGATCAGAGCCCATGCGTAGAGCCCAGAGTCTACTGGAGCAGCTGAAGGCCGAGGCCAGTCTGGATCTAGACTCAGAGGGTGGGTGAACAGTCTAAGATTTTTTAATTTTTTTATTTAACCTTTATTTAACCAGGTAAGCCAGTTGAGAACAAGTTCTCATTTACAACTGCGACCTGGCCAAGATAAAGCAAAGCAGTGCGATTAAAAACAACAACAACACAGAGTTACACATGGGAATAAAACAAAACATACAGTCAATAACACAATAGAAAATCTATATACAGTGTGTGCAAATGTAGTAAGTTATGGAGGTAAGGCAATAAATAGGCCATAGTGCAAAATAATTACAATTTAGTATTAACACTGGAATGATAAATGTGCAGAAGATGATGTGCAAATAGAGATACTGGGGTGCAAATGAGCAAAATAAATAACAATATGGGGATGAGGTAGTTGGGTGGGCTAATTACAGATAGGCTGTGTACAGGTGCAGTGATCAGTAAGCTGCTCTGACAACTGATGCTTAAAGTTGGTGAGGGAGATAAGAGTCTCCAGCTTCAGAGATTTTTGTAGTTCGTTCCAGTCATTAGCAGCAGAGAACCGGAAGGAATGGCGGCCAAAGGAGGTGTTGGCTTTGGGGATGACCAGTGAGATATACCTGCTGGAGATACAGTGCCTTGCAAAAGTATTCCACCCCCTTGGCGTTTTTTTCCTATTTTGTTGCATTACAACCTGTAATTGAAATTGGTTTTTATTTGGATTTCATGAAAATGGACATACACAAGATAGTCCAAATTGGTGAAGTGAAATGAACATTTCAAAGTTTCAAAAAATTCTAAAAAATAAATAACGGAAAAGTGGTGCGTGCATATGTATTCACCCCCTTTGCTATGAAGCCCCTAAATAAGATCTGGTGCAATTACCTTCAGAAGTCACATAATTAATTAAATAAAGTCAACCTGTGTGCAATCTAAGTGTCACATGATCTGTCACATGATCTCAGTATATATACACCTGTTCTGAAAGGCCCCAGAGTCTGCAACACCACTAAGCAAGGAGCACCACCAAGCAAGCGGCACCATGAAGACCAAGGAGCTCTCCAAACAGGTCAGGGACAAAGTTGTGGAGAAGTACAGATCAGGGTTGGGTTATAAAAAAAATATCCGAAACTTTGACCATCCCACGGAGCACCATTTTAAATCCATTATTAAAAAGTGGAAAGAATATGGCACCACAACATACCTGCCAAGGGAGGGCCGCCCACCAAAACTCACGGCCTAGGTAAGGAGGGAATTAATCAGAGAGGCAACAAAGAGACCAAAGATAACCATGAATGAGCTGCAAAGCTCCACAGCGGAGATTAGAGTATCTGTCAATAGGACCACTTTAAGCTGTACACTCCACAGAGCTGGGCTTTACGGAAGAGTGGCCAGAAAAAAAACATTGCTTAAAGAAAAAAATAAGCAAACACGTTTGGTATTCGCCAAAAGGCATGTGGGAGACTCCCCAAACACATGGAAGAAGGTACTCTGGTCAGATGAGACTAAAATTGAGCTTTTTGGCCATCAAGGAAAACGCTATGTCTGGCACAAACCCAACACCTCTCATCACCCCGAGAACACCATCCCCACAGTGAAGCATGGTGGTGGCAGCATCATGCTGTGGGGATGTTTTTCATCGGCAGGGACTGGGCAACTGGTCAGAATTGAAGGAATGATGGATGGCACTAAATACAGGGAAATTCTTGAGTGAAACCTGTTTCAGTCTTCCAGAGATTTGAGACTGGGACCGTGGTTCACCTTCCAGCAGGACAATGACCCTAAGCATACTGCTAAAGCAGGGGGGGGTGAATAGTTATGCACGCTCAAGTGTTCTGTTTTTTTGTCTTATTTCTTGTTTGTTTCACAATAAGAAATATTTTGCATCTTCAAAGTGGTAGGCATGTTGTGTAAATCAAATGATACAAACCCCCCCAAAAAATCCATTTTAATTCCAGGTTGTAAGGCAACAAAATAGGAAAAATGCCAAGGGGGGTGAATACTTTCGCAAGCCACTGTATCTAGTTAATTAGTACTCTATCCTCTCTCAATTCTTTAGTATTTTTATGTTTGTGTATCTCTCCCTCTCCTTCATTTCTCTCTCTATTTACCTATATCTCTATCTTTGGCCTTCCATCATTAATCTGATCATTACTCCTACTCCTGGTAGGTTTCTCTGGTGGTTTCCACAGCAACAGCTCCTTCTGCTTGGGTGAGGATGAGGGAGTTGAGAATGGGGTCCAGGAAGACTTCCTGTCATTTGATGCAGACTTGGTGGCCGACCAGCTGACCTATATGGATGCGGTAAGAGAAAGGCTGAGGGAGTGAGTCTGTATGGGTTGCCAGGTGGGATTTGAACAATGCAGGATAAATATACGTTTTAAGTGTTTTAATACTAATAGTGTCATTGTTTGTCTGTTTCCAGTTGTTGTTCAAGAAGGTGGTTCCTCACCACTGCCTGGGCTCCATCTGGTCCCAGAGGGATAAGAAACAGAACAAGCACAGTGCTCCCACCATCCGTGCCACCATCACCCAGTTCAACGCTGTGGCAGCGTGTGTGGTGAGCACCATACTGCACCGACGCCAGATCCGCCCACACCTCAGGGCACGGGTCATCCAGCGCTGGATAGACATCGCTCAGGAGTGTCGCATGCGTAAGAACTTCTCCTCACTGCGCGCCATCGTGTCTGCCCTGCAGTCCAACCCACTCTACAGACTGAAGAGGTCCTGGTCTTGTGTACACAAGTGAGTCTTTCTTTCACAACCTGGGTGCATAATGATTAGTTACAACTAGGGCTGTTGTAGTGACCGTATTACCGCCACACCGGCAGTCATGAGTCATGACCGCAGTAAAATTCCACGTGACCGTTGAGTCACAGTAATCTCCTCTTCTGCACTCTGGACATTCGTTGGTTGTACCCAACTCGCTAATGACCATCAGGTCGCTAATGGCCTGGTACTCAGGGCTCTATTGTCCGTCTAACAACTCTGACATCAATGCAAATGCAATCGAAAATCACATCAAACACTTATCATCAAAACAGTATCATGCTTTTAAAACTCACCTCACTGTGATTCATCAATTTGAATAAAGAAGTTCAACAACAGGTTGAAACTGAGTGGAAAACATGGTCACTGTGGATGTTGTTTCAAAGCCTGATACAATGAAATGGACAGCGCTTTCTAAGGTGATGATTAACTCAAAAAACTATAGTTTATGCATATGCATAGGCCTATGAGCTCAAGCCCGAAAAAAACCCCTGAATTAAAATAATGAATGTGTCGTTATACAATACCTACTGCATATTACACATGGCAGAATAACATTAAAAAAAACGTATTTAAGATGTCTTTGGTACATAATTGGTCTAGCCTATACTCCAAAATAAAAAAATTATAGTAATCACCTTTCAGGGTGGACTGTATTATCATGCATACTGGATACCTTATGCTATGCTTCAATCGTTCTATTCATGAGTCTAGGAGAGAATGTTTGTTTATTTTACCAGGTAAGTTGACTGAGAACACATTCTCATTTACAGCAACGACTTTGGGAATAGTTACAGGGATTAATTAACCAATTGGGATGATTAGGTGGCCAGATTGGGAATTTAGCCAAGACACTGGAGTTAACACCCCTACTCTTACAATAAATGTCATGGGATCTTTAGTGACCACAAAGTCAGATCACCCATTTAACATCCCATCTGAAAAACCACACCCTACACAGGGTAATGTCCCCAATCACTGCCCTGGGGCATTGGGATATTATATATTTTTTTAGACCAGAGGAAAGAGTGCCTCCTACTGGCCCTCCAACACCACTTCCAGCACCATCTGGTCTCCCATCCAGGGACCAACCAGAATCAACCCTGCTTAGCTTCAGAGGCAAGCCACCAGTGGCGATGCTGTTGGTTCATTGATTGTGCGGGGCTGCTAAGCCTACAATTATAGTGAATTTGTATTTGATTTTGAATAGCCTAGTAATAGGGCATATTTTATACTTTCATAATTAATAGGCTGACACATTACCTTTTAGATACAGAATATCTCACCACCGTGCGTTTCCATCTCCTCGCTCTCCTTCATTCCTTTCTCCAGTGTGAAGAGAGAGGGGCAGTCAACAGTTCAATTAAATGTGTTTCGTTGTGAAAACATGTTACTATCGATGTTTCTGAACAGATTTCACTAGGTTTCCCAAATTAAGCACTGGGTAAATGCAGGAACAGGGTTGGAGAGTTTGGGCAGAATAAAACCTGTCGCGCAGCAAGAGGCTGCAGGCTCCTCAAACAGTGGTTGATGCATGGAGTGAAATAACCGGAGTAGCCTGAAAAACGAACCAGCGGGAAAGCGGCCTCCATTCACTATTGGAGTGTAAATGGATGACGTATTTTTCCCCTGCCCCTGTTCCTGCCCATTTGATATTGGGCCATTCTAAATCTAAACTAATTTTACAGTAAGGACAAGATTCAAATTAGAATAGAGAAAATATGATCACTTGATGAAAGAACAGCATGTGCAGCCTGAGACAAACAGAGTGAAAGCTTTTTTTGCTACTTTCTCAAATCATCAATAGCCTATAGTCGCATCATGCAGTCCATATATGTTTTGATTTTTAAGACATTCTAAGGTTTGTATCATTAACAACTAAAGTTGCCATATAACTCTAAATCTAGCATATAGGACCTGTTTCAAATTATCACTTTTACGCTCAACATAGCCACTTCATATGTGCACTTGCTCCGGAATGGGAAAAATATCCTTTCTATTTATATTCAGCTACGTTCAATTATATTCTTACTATAAAATCATATAATAGCCTATAAAATAATGTCACGGGACTTATAAGCATATCTTGTCTGCTAAATGAACAAGCCTACAGCCTATGCCATGGCGCATAGCCAGAGAACATACAGTAGGCCAACTCATATTCTGTTCTTCTGAAGAAAATAAAAAAAACGATTCATATCATGTTTCTTTAGACCTGCCTAAAATAAATAATGGATTTATTGTGATGGTGTATATAACATAGATGTTTCAAAGGCGCGCATCAGCGGCTTGTATGCATGGAGGCCTGGAGATGCTAAACCTGTTTATGTTAAATGTCAATTACAGTGAGACCGGCGCTCTTTTGCATGACAATAACCAGCTGACCAAAATGTCATGACCGCCACAGCCCTAGTCACAACTCATGTGATAGAGTTCCTATGCATTCCTAATTAGTTCTAAACTTTCTCTATGTAATTCCCCCAGAGACAGCATGTCTACGTTTGAAGAGCTATCAGACATCTTCTCAGATCACAACAACTACCTGACCAGCCGAGAGCTACTGATGAGGGTGAGACTCTGCTCTGTTAATACCATCATATGAGAAGGATTGGTTGTTGGTGTAGTGGTTGATTTATTGATTGTAGTAGTGATTTGACATTCACACAATCTACTTTTTCCCCTACAGGAGGGCACCTCTAAATTTGCCAATCTGGAAGGCTGTGCTAAGGAGCACCAGAAACGCACTCACAAACGACTCCAGCTGCAGAAGGAAATGGTGAGAGATAGCAAGCAACTGGCAGTTTGAGGCCCTGTTTGTTTCCGTTTCAGGAAGGGAGTCCAAGTGAGATAAGCTTGGCTGTGCCTGCTTATGTATCGGTATGATTTTTAACCTTTGCTCTGTCTCTCCTCCCAGGGTGCCATGCAGGGGACGATACCTTACCTGGGCACATTCCTGACAGACCTGACCATGCTAGATACTGCACTGCCAGACCTAGTTGAGGTGAGTCTTACTATCATCCTACTCATTTTGATTGATTGTAGAGACTTCTCCTGTGTGTTGTAGGGATTGGCATGAGGACTCGAGTACTCAAATGGACGTCAAAACCCGATCTTTAACCAGAGATAAAAAAATTAAAAAATACTGTAAAACTATTTGGTGGAATGTGCTTTGTGGCTTGTCCCAGAAATGTTTTTATATTTTGTCTTGAAGAAAACGTTAATTTGCTTTAACTCTAGTGTCCCATTTGTACATGTGCATTTGCGGTGCACAACAAAAAATAAACCAAGGCAAGCATCACACAGTTCTTCTCCCTAAATTCCCTTTCCCTTCAGTGTCTCACTCACTCAATTGCGTTCAGACCGCTCCCTCTACACACGCATGCTGAGTTCCCACACAATCTCCTGTTAGGCCTACAGAAATAAATGCCTATAAAAACAGTGGGACGGTGGGCATAAAAAATGCCTCTAACTGATGGGATACACAAGCTACATTCCTTGCCAAATGATGACAGTTTTATCGCAAATTCTAAATGGACAGGTTGATTGAAGTAGGGAAATATGTGTTACACAATGAGCTGCAGTTTTGGAATAACTGCGTCAAGTCTATTTTCCGTTTAGGCTACTTTGAGAACTGCTAGTGCCATTTTAGAATTGGTTAGCCTAGGCTATAACCTCTCGAAACATAGATAGGTAGGTTCCACACTAAAAACATGCAAAAACATTAGTTTGATAAAGACAGAGCATATTTTCATCAGAATCATAAAGCCTAGGCCTACTCACCAAACGGATGTCATGGCCGTAATTCATCACCATGCAGTGTTCAATTTGGAATTGTTAATCCGTTTAGAAAATTCCAAAGCACAGGCAGAAAAAACTAAATTGAACGTCTATAGGCCTATATTGAAGAAAAGGTTTGTAACCCTGATATTTTTTTCTTTCAATGTGCCAAACTAAGCCTCGTTTAAAATGATCACTATTTGAGAATAACTGTTTCAGACGCGCATCACTTCGCACTGGCAACTTTTTTCATTTGGAAAAATATTATTTTGTTTTGTTATATTACATGTTTTTTGCTATAAAATAGGTGTCTTGACTGTGATAAGGGCTTGGGAAATAAGAGTCTTGTCTGCCAAATTAACAAAACAAGGCTATGCCATTGCACAGCCATAGGCTTCTACAAGTTAGCACCACTGCTGAGTTTACTGCCCTTTTGAAGATTGTGTTCCACGATAGAATATAACCAGTTGATATTACGGTTTCAATAAATTAATCGTTTTTTATTGACTGAATATGTATGAGGCTATTTAGCCATTTGGATTAGTTATCTGTAATGGTTATGATAAATTAGGCATTGTTGTGCACTGTTGGCATATGCATAAATGCGCACATATTTTGCCCTTGTGTTCAAAAAATGGATGACATTGTTTTAAAATTCCAAATACAAAAACAATAATCGTATGAGTACTCCAACAGTCAAAACATTTAAAATGCCCATCCCTAGTGTGTTGGGACCGCAGTTTGCAACTAGAGCATGAGTTTCCATGAGTATTTGAGTATTTGTTTGGCAGTTTTTAGAGTAGTCCACCACCGCTGTTTGTCTAGCCAGCACAGCTTGGTACACTACATGGCCAAAAGTATGTGGACACCTACTCGAACATCTCATTCCAAAATCATGGGCATTAATATGGAGTTGGTCCCCCCATTTGCTGCTAGAACAGCCTCCACTCTTTGGGGAAGGCTTTCTACTAGATGTTGGAACATTGCTACGGGGACTTGCTTCCATTCAGCCACAAGAGCATTAGTGAGGTTGGGCACTGATGTTGGGCGATTATGCCTGGCTTGCAGTCTGCGTTCCAATTGATCCCAAAGGTGTTGGATGGGGTTTTTGATGGGGTGTCCACATACTTTTGTACATATAGTGTATGTATAGGGGAAGGTGACTAGGGCTCTGTGCAGGCCAGTCAAGTTCTTCCACACCGATCTCCACTAACAATTTTTTTATGGACCTCGCTTTGTGCATGGGGGCATTGTCATGTTGAAACAGGAAAGGGCTTTCCCCAAACTGTTGCCACAAAGTTGGAAGCACAGAATCGTCTAGAATGTCATTGTATGCTTTAGCGTTAAGATTTCCCTTCCCTGGAACTAAGGGGCCTAGCCCAAACCATGAAAAACAGCCCCAGACCAATATTCCTCCTCCACCAAAGTTTACAGTTGGCACTATGCATTAGGGTAGTGTTCTCCTGGCATCCGCCAAACCCAGATTCGTCCGTTGGACTGCCAGATGGTGAAGCGTGATTCCTCACTCCAGAGAACGTGTTTCCGCTGCTCCAGAGTCCAATGGCGGCGAGCTTTACACCACTCAAGCCGACGCTTGGCATTGCGCATGGTGATCTTCGGCTTGTGTGCAGCTGCTCGGCCATGGAAACCCATTTCATGAAGCTCCCCGACGAACAGTTCTTGTGCTGACGTTGCTTCCAGGGGCAGTTTGTAACTCGGTAGTGAGTGTTGCAACCGAGGACAGATTATTTTTTACACGCTATGCGCTTCAGAACTAAGCGGTCCCGTTCTGTGAGCTTGTGTGGCCTACCACATTGAGCCGTTGTTGCTCCTAGATGTTTCCACTTCACATTAACTCCTGAGTGGCGCAGTGGTCTAAGGCACTGCATCGCAGTGCTAACTGTGCCACTAGAGATCCTGGTTCGAATCCAGGCTCTGTCGCAGCCGGCCGCGACCGGGAGACTCATGGGCAGGGATGTGGCTCAGTTGATAGAGCATGGCGTTTGCAACGCCAGGGTTGTGGGTTTGATTCCCACGGGGGGCCAGTATAAAAAAAATAATAAATAAAAAATTCACTAACTGTAAGTTGCTCTGGATAAGAGTGTCTGCTAAATGACAAAAATGTAAATGTAAAATGTAATTAACAGCACCTATAGTTGACCGGGGAAGCTCTAGCAGGGCAGAAATTTGACAAACTGACTTGTTGGAAAGGTGGCATCCTATGACGGTGTCACGTTGAAAGTCACTGAGCTCTTCAGTACGGGCCATTCTACTGTCAATGTTTGTCTATGGAGATTGCATGGCTGTGACCTCGATTTTATACACTTGTCAGCAACGGGTGTGGCTGAAATAGCCGATTCCACTAAGCCGATTCCACTTTTGGCTATGTAGTGTATCAGCTTTCAGTCTTTTACACTGTTGTCTTTGTGTCGTCTGCAGGGGGGGCTAATCAACTTTGAGAAGAGGCGAAGGGTGAGTGTCATATTTAACCTGTTCTAACCCACTAATTAGGTCAAGGGGTCATTGTTAGTAGTCAGCTCGATTGACATGACTGTTACCTTGATCTCTCTCTCTGATTCTCTTATGCAGGAGTTTGAGGTGATGGCTCAGATCAAGCTGCTGCAGTCTGCGTGTAACAGCTACTGTCTTAGTGCTGATGCTACCTTCCTGCGCTGGTTCAAGAACCAGCCCCAACACAGCGATGAGGAGAGGTACAAACAACATCATCAATCATTCACGCAGTGCCTTCAAAAAGTATTAATACCCCTTGACATTTTCAACTTTTTGTTGTGTTACTGCTTGAATTTAAAATGGATTACATTTAGATTTTTTTGTCACTGGCCTACACACAATACCCCATAATGTCAACGTAGAATAATGTTTTTAGACATTTTTACAAATGAATTAAAAATGAAAACCTGAAGTGTCTTGAGTCAATAAGTATTCAACTCCATTGTTATGGCAAGCCTAAATAAGTTCAGGAGTAAAGATTTGCTTAACAAGTCACATAATAAGTTGCATGGACTCACTCTGTGTGCAATAATAGTGTTTAACATGATTTTTGAATGACTACCTCATCTCTATACCCCCAAAAATACAATTATCTGTAAGGTCCCTCAGTCAAACAGTGAATTTCAAACACAGATACAACCTCAAAGACCAAGGAGGTTTTCCAATAACAATAACCTAAAACACAAGGCCAACTCTACACTGGAGTTGCTTACCAAGAAGACAGTGAATGTTCCTGAGAGGGCGAGTTACAGTTTTGACTTAAATCTACTTGAAAATCTTTGCCAATGGTTGTCTAGCAATGATCAACAACAAATTTGACAGAGCTTGAAGAATTTTGAAAATAATAACAGGCAAATATTGTACAATCCAGGTGTGGAAAGCTCTTAGAGATTTACCCAGAAAGACTCACAGCTGTAATCGCAGCTAAAGGTGCTTTAGCAAAACACAACGTGCCATTGGAACACAGGACTGATGGTTGCTGATAATGGGCCTCTGTACGCCTATGTAGATATTCCATTAAAAATCAGCCGTTTCCAGCTACAATAGCCATTTACAACATTAACAATGTCTACACTGTATTTCTGATCAATTTGATGTTATTTTAATGGACAACAAAAAATGATTTTCTTTCAAAAACAAGGACATTTCTAAGTGACCCCAAACTTTTGAACGGTAGTGTGTGTGTGTATGTGTGTATATATATATATATATTATGTGTGTATGTGTGTATATATATATATATATATATATATATATATATATATATATATATATATATATATATATATATATATATATTACAGTTGAAGTCGGAAGTTACATACACCTTAGCCAAATACATTTAAGCTCAGTTTTTCACAATTCCTGACATTTAATCCTGGTAGAAATTCCTTGTTTTAGGTCAGTTAGGATCACCACTTTATTTTAAGAATGTGAAATGTCAGAATAATAGTAGAGGGAATTATTTCTTTCAGCTTTTATTTCTTTCATCACATTCCCAGTGGGTCAGAAGTTTGCATACACTCAATTCGTATTTGGTAGCGTTGCCTTTAAATTGTTTAACTTGGGTCAAACGTTTCGGGTAGCCTTCCTCAAGCTTCCCACAATAAGTTGGGTGAATTTTGGCACATTCCTCCTGACAGAGCTGGTGTAACGGAGTCAGGTTTGTAGGCCTCCTTGCTCGCACACGCTTTTTCAGTTCTGCCCACAAATGTTCTATAGGATTGAGGTCAGGGCTTTGTGATGGCCACTCCAATACCTTGACTTTGTTGTCCTTAAGCCATTTTGCCACATCTTTGGAAGTATGCTTGGGGTCATTGTCCATTTGGAAGACCAATTTGCGACCAAGGTTTAACTTCCTGACTGATGTCTTGAGATGTTGCTTCAATATATCCACATAATTTTCCTTCCTCATGAAGCCATCTATTTTGTGAAGTGCACCAGTCCCTCCTGCAGCAAAGCACCCCCACAGCATGATGCTGCCACCCCCGTGCTTCACGGTTGGGATGGTGTTCTTTGGCTTGCAAGCTTCCCCTTTTTCCTCCAAACATAATGATGGTCATTATGGCCAAACAGTTCTATTTTTGTTTCATCAGACCAGAGGACATTTCTCCAAAAAGTACGATCTTTGTCCCCATGTGCAGTTGCAAGCCGTAGTCTGGCTTTTTTATGGCAGTTTTGGAGCAGTGGCTTCTTCCTTGCTGAGCGGCCTTTCAGGTTATGTCGATATAGGACTCGTTTTACTGTGGATATAAATACTTTTGTACCTGTTTCCTCCAGCATCTTCACAAGGTCCTTTGCTGTTGTTCTGGGATTGATTTGCACTTTTCGCACCAAAATACGTTCATCTCTAGGAGACAGAATGCGTCTCCTTCCTGAGCGGTATGATGGCTGCGTGGTCCCATGGTGTTTATACTTGGGTACTATTGTTTGTACAGATGAATGTGGTACCTTCAGGCGTTTGGAAATTGCTCCCAAGGATGAACCAGATTTGTGGAGGTCTGCACATTTTTTTCTGAGGTCTTGGCTGATTTCTTTTGATTTTCCCATGATGTCAAGCAAAGAGGGACTGAGTTTGAAGGTAGGCCTTGAAATACATCCACAGGTACACCTCCAATTGACTCAAATTATGTCAATTAGCCTATCAGAAGCTTCTAAAGCCATGACATCATTTTCTGGAATTTTCCAAGCTGTTTAAAGGCAAAGTCAACTTAGTGTATGTAAACTTCTGACCCACTGGAATTGGGATACAGTGAATTATAAGTGAAATTATCTGTCTGTAAACAATTGTTGGAAAAATTACTTGTGTCATGCACAAAGTAGATGTCCTAACCGACTTGCCAAAACTATAGTTTGTTAACAAGACATTTGTGGAGTGGTTGAAAAACGAGTTTTAATGACTCCAACCTAAGTGTATGTAAACTTCCGACTTCAACTGTATAAACTCAGCAAAAAAAGAAATGTCCTCTCACTGTCAACTGCGTTTATTTTCAGCAAACTTAACATGTGTAAATATTTGTATGAACATCAGATTCAACAACTGAGACATAAACTGAACAAGTTCCACAGACATGTGACTAACAGAAATTGAATAATGTGTCCCTGAACAAAGTGGGGGGGGGGGTCAAAATCAAAAGTAACAGTCAGTATCTGGTGTGGCCACCAGCTGCGTTAAGTACTGCAGTGCATCTCCTCCTCATGGATTGCACCAGATTTGCCAGTTCTTGCTGTGAGATGCTACCCCACCCTTCCACCAAGGCACCTGCAAGTTCCTGGACATTTCTGGGGGGAATGGCCCTAGCCCTCACCCTCCGATCCAACAGGTCCCAGACGTGCTCAATGGGATTGAGATCTGGGCTCTTCGCTAGCCATGGCAGAACACTGACATTCCTGTCTTGCAGGAAATCACGCACAGAACGAGCAGTATGACTGGTGGCATTGTCATGCTGGAGGGTCATGTCAGGATGAGCCTGCAGGAAGGGTACCACATGAGGGAGGAGGATGTCTTGACAACAAGCTCAGTCCGATGATGCTGTGACACACCGCCCCAGACCATGACGGACCCTCCACCTCCAAATCGTTCCCGCTCCAGAGTACAGGCCTTGGTGTAATGCTCATTCCTTCGACGATAAACGCAAATCCGACCATCACCCCTGGTGAGACAAAACCGCGACTCGTCAGTGAAGAGCACTTTTTGCTAGTCCTGTCTGGTCCAGCGACGGTGGGTTTATGCCCATAGGCGACATTGTTGCCGGTGATGTCTGGTGAGGACCTGCCTTACAACAGGCCTACAAGCCCTCAGTCCAGCCTCTCTCAGCATATTGCGGACAGTCTGAGCACTGATGGAGGGATTGTGCGTTCCTGGTGTAACTCGGGCAGTTGTTGTTGCCATCCTGTACCTGTCCCCCAGGTGTGATGTTCAGATGTATCGATCCTGTGCAGGTGTTGTTACACTTGGTCTGCCACTGCGAGGACGATCAGCTGTCCGTCCTGTCTCCCTGTAGCGCTGTCTTAGGCGTCTCACAGTACGGACAATGCAATTTATTGCCCTGGCCACATCTGCAGTCCTCATGCCTCCTTGCAGCATGCCTAAGGCACGTTCACGCAGATGAGCAGGGACCCTAGGCATCTTTCTTTTTGTGTTTTTCAGAGTCAGTAGAAAGGACTCTTTAGTGTCCTAAATTTTCATAACTGTGACCTTAATTGCCTACCGTTCGTAAGCTGTTAGTGTCTTAACGACCGTTCCACAGGTGCATGTTCATTAATTGTTTATGGTTCATTGAACAAGCATGGGAAACAGTGTTTAAACCCTTTACAATGAAGATCTGTTAAGTTATTTGGATTTTTACAAATTATCTTTGAAAGACAGGGTCCTGAAAAAGGGACGTTTCTTTTTTTGCTGAGTGTGTGTGTGTATATATATATATATATATATATATATATATATATATATATATATATATATATATATATATACACACACACACATACACACACACACACACACACACACACACACACACAGTGGGGAAAAAAGTATTTAGTCAGCCACCAATTGTGCAAGTTCTCCCACTTAAAAATATGAGAGAGGCCTGTAATTTTCATCATAGGTACACGTCAACTATGACAGACAAATTGAGATTTTTTTTCTCCAGAAAATCACATTGTAGGATTTTTTATTAATTTATTTGCAAATTATGGTGGAAAATAAGTATTTGGTCACCTACAAACAAGCAAGATTTCTGGCTCTCACAGACCTGTAACGTCTTCTTTAAGAGGCTCCTCTGTCCTCCACTCGTTACCTGTATTAATGGCACCTGTTTGAACTTGTTATCAGTATAAAAGACACCATCAGTAACACACTACGCCATCAGGGACTCAAATCCTGCAGTGCCAGACGTGTCCACCTGCTTAAGCCAGTACATGTCCAGGCCCGTCTGAAGTTTGCTAGAGTGCATTTGGATGATCCAGAAGAGGATTAGGAGAATGTCATATGGTCAGATGAAACCAAAATAGAACTTTTTGGTAAAAACTCAACTCGTCGTGTTTGGAGGACAAAGAATGCTGAGTTGCATCCAAAGAACACCATACCTACTGTGAAGCATGGGGGTGGAAACATCATGCTTTGGGGCTGTTTTTCTGCAAAGGGACCAGGACGACTGATCCGTGTAAAGGAAAGAATGAATGGGGCCATGTATCGTGCGATTTTGAGTGAAAACCTCCTTCCATCAGCAAGGGCATTGAAGATGAAACGTGTCTGGGTCTTTCAGCATGACAATGATCCCAAACACACCGCCCGGGCAACGAAGGAGTGGCTTCGTAAGAAACATTTCAAGGTCCTGGAGTGGCCTAGCCAGTCTCCAGATCTCAACCCCATAGAAAATCTTTGGAGGGAGTTGAAAGTCCGTGTTGCCCAGCGACAGCCCCAAAACATCACTGCTCTAGAGGAGATCTGCATGGAGGAATTGGCCAAAATACCAGCAACAGTGTGTGAAAACCTTGTGAAGACTTACAGAAAACGTTTGACCTGTGTCATTGCCAACAAAGGGCATATACCAAAGTATTGAGAAACTTTTGTTATTGACCAAATACTTATTTTCCACCATAATTTGCAAATAAATTCATTAAAAATCCTACAATGTGATTTTCTGGAGAGAAAAAAATTCTCATTTTGTCTGTCATAGTTGACGTGTACCTATGATGAAAATTACAGACCTCTCTCATCTTTTTAAGTGGGAGAACTTGCACAATTGGTGGCTGACTAAATACTTTTTTCCCCCACTGTATATATATATATATATAGTACCAGTCAAGTTTGGACACACCTACTCATTTCAGGGGTTTTCGTTATTTTTACTATTTTCTACATTGTAGAATAATAGTGAAGACATCAAAACTATGAAATATCACATATGGAATCATGTAGGAACCAAAACAGTGTTAAACAAATCAAAATATATTTTAGATTTTAGATTCTTCAAAGTAGCCACCCTTTGCCTTGATGACAGCTTTGCACACTCTTGGCATTCTCTCAACCAGCTTCACCTGGAATGCTTTTCCAACAGTCTTGAAGGAGTTTCCACATATGCTGAGCACTTGTTGGCTGCTTTTTCTTCACTCTGCGGTCCGACTCATCCCAAACCATCTCAATTGGGTTGAGGTCGGGTGATTGTGGAGGCCAGGTCATCTGATGCAGCACTCCATCACTCTCCTTCTTGGTCAAATAGCCCTTACACAGCCTGTAGGTGTGTTTTGGGTCATTTTCCTGTTAAAAAACGAATGATAGTCCCACTAAGCGCAAACCAGATGGGATGGCATATCGCTGCATAATGCGGTGGTAACCATGCTGGTTAAGTGTGCCTTGAATTCGAAATAAATCACAGACAGTGTCACCAGCAAAGCACCCCCACACCATCACACCACCTCCTCCATGCTTCACGGTGGGAACCACACATGCGGAGATCATCCGTTCACCTTCTCTGCGTCTCACAAAGACACGACGGTTGGAATATATGAAAATATAAAAAAACGACGGTTGGAACCAAACATCTCCAATTTGGACTCATCAAACCAAAGGACAGATTTCCACCGGTCTAATGTCCATTGCTCATGTTTCTTGGCCCAAGCAAGTCTCTTCTTCTTATTGGTGTCCTTTAGTAGTGGTTTCTTTGCAGCAATTTGACCATGTAGCTCAGTTGAAGGCCTGATTTCACGCAGTCTCCTCTGAACAGTTGATGTTGAGATGTGTCTGTTACTTGAACTCTGTGAAGCATTTATTTGGGCTGCAATCTGAGGTGCAGTTAACTCTAATGAACTTATCCTCTGCATTAGAGGTAACTCTGGGTCTTCCTTTCCTGTGGCGGTCCTCATGAGAGCCAGTTTCATCATATCGCTTGATGGTTTTTGCAACTACACTTGAAGAGATTTTCAAAGTTCTTGAAATTTTCTGGATTGACTGACCTTCATGTCTTAAAGGAATGATGGACTGTCGTTTCTCTTATTTATATATATATATATGTATCACTACATCAGCTCTCTCGCCCTCTCTCTATGCTTTGCTCTCTTTCATTCTGATTGTTTTACTCATTATACTGAGGCTGAATAGGCTGGTAGCGGTGATGTCATAATTATTATCTGTTTATCTCCTGCAGCCATGCTATGTCTTGTGACATTGAAGGAGTGGGAGACAGCAGTCCAACCTTACCCAAACCTCGCAAGAGCATGGTTAAGAGACTCAGCCTGTAAGTACACCCTGGAGGAATTTAAAAATGAAGTATACTGTACTTGACATTTAGATTGAAAAGAAATCTACCCTGAAATACAGCCATTGTATTGGTGTATAATTCCTCTGACTATCAGATTTGGAACATTAGCCTTTGACATAATATTTGTTATGTTTTAACAGTAACTCGTTATATCAGTGTTGATGTTAGATCTACCTGGCCATTTTCGCTCTGTCACCAGACTGTTCCAGGGAGTGGACTCCTCAGTGAGGGAAACACCTCGGTCGCCCCCTACTGGCAGCTCAGGGGAGAGCATGGACTCAGTCAGTGTGTCGTCCAGTGACTCCAGCCCTTCAGACAGCGAGGGCCTGGGCATGACACCTATACACACTTCAGATGCACAGCAAAACAAGGTAAAGCACTAACACCCACTCCCCTATTGTTGTATTACGTTAAGTATGTTTTACTAGCTAAGTTGGTGAGGAATTTACACAAACCCATGTTGGGTTAAAAAAAAAAAACGCTCCTTGTGTTTTTCATTTACTTTGTTCTGTATTGTCACATTTTGTTTTCCTATCATGTGTGTAAATAATTATAGGTATAAACTAGTTGTTGTAATTATGTCAGCATTGAGTCTGTATGTGTGCTAACTACTGTATCTGTTTGTGTCCAGTTGTCCGAGTCTTCCTCCTGCACTTCTCTCCACTCCATGGACACTACCTTGTCCTCAGCCAGTGTTCCTGTGATCCCAGCCTCGCCCTCCCTCCCTAGCCCACCCTGCATGCACTGTCGCTTGGACTCCCTGATGCCCATGTCCACCTCGCCCTTCCCCCCTGCCTACAACACCCAGGCCCAGGACGCCTGCATCATCAGAGTCAGCCTGGAGCAGGGCAACGGCAACCTCTACAAGAGCATCATGGTACGTCTCAGCAGGAGATTAGTACTTTGATTCAGATGGCCAAGACATTTTGAATAAATGTATAGAAGCCTGAAAAGTGGTTATTGATTGGTACATGGTGTTGTTCCCTCCCCAGTTGACGAGTCAGGATAAGACTCCAGCAGTGATCTCTAGAGCTGTGGCCAAACACAACCTGGAGAGTGAGCCTGGGGAGGGATACGAGCTGGTGCAGGTCATCTCTGACGAAAGAGGTATAAAATTCTCCCTGTCACTCAAATATATTTTATACTCTAATTTGTAATGAATGACTTGTGATAATATTGTGGAAAAAATCCTTCCTTTTCCAGAACTGGTGATTCCTGACACCGCCAATGTGTTTTACGCCATGAACACCTCAGCCAACTTTGACTTCCTGCTGCGTGTGCGAGGCACTGCGGGGCGACTGGTCCAGCTGAGGAGTCGATGCGCCTCCACATTCCCCCGTGCCCAGCAGCGCTCCAGCCTGTCGCTGCGCCTCAGCAAGGTCACCCTGTGACCCCCGGGACAGGGGCACGAGGCCTGGAGGGACCCATTTTATTTTTTACATTTTTTATCCAGAGCGACTTAGAGTAGTGAGTGCATACATTTTCGGACCCCAGACTGGAGGGGCTGGGAGTGGCGGTGGGAGACTGAAAAGGACCAGACATGGGGAATGAATGGAAGTCAATTAGTTTACACTCTGAATTCCCTATTCCCACATCTCCTTTCCCTAATCAGACCCCCACCTCTTAGTGCAACCTCGCCCAGCATCCCTTCCAGTAGCAGCCTGTGGCCTTCCTGTTCCTGGCACGTCCCCCAAACCCCTATGGACTATTATGGATGTGTAGTGGGACAGTGGTGCCATATAGAATATATGTGGCAGAGCGAGACCGTCTTACCCCCCCCCCTCCACATGAAGAGGTTTTGCACAGGCAGGAAGAGTGACTCCTGCCCTCCATCAGTATTCATCTTTTTTATCGACTTTCCTGTGGAGCCTGTATGTATGTTTCCTATTCAAAGGGAGATGGGAGCCTGGAAGGAGAGCGAGACTATGTCCAGTCCAGTTGCCTTTATTAACGGTGATGAATGATGGACTTCTGTGTCATTGTTAATCTGTGTGATTGATTGACAGGAGCTGTGTGATGTCATTGTCTTTCTTCTTTGTTTCTGTGATTTCATAGTGTGCACTGTGTGTACCACACGGGACTGCACCTCTCGTATTGTGAGCTGAGTGATGAATGCCAGTATAGAGGCATTCTGATAGGTTACTACTTGGTTTTAACAAGTTATTTCCTTTTGATATTGTTTAGCTGTCCCCTCTCACCTTTAGGGTGTAGTGACACATAGGATGGGTCTCTATGTGAGGACCGGATTGCGCTGCCTGCCACGACGATTAGCAGTCCTAATAGAGATGCACTTGTTAGTGGTTAGGTGACGTCAGGAGGTGGAAAGCAGGTGGAATGAGTGACATTTACATTTTAGTCATTTAGCAGACGCTCTTATCCAGAGCAATTTACAGTTAGTGCATTCATCTTAAGATAGCTAGGTGGGACAACCACATATTTCAGTCATAGTAAATACATTTTTCCTGAATAAAGTAGCTATCAGCAAAGGCAGTGCTAGTAGGGGGGGAAAGTGTGAGTGTTAGTTCACGAAAAGCAATATATATATTTTTTTTAAATGGGGGGGGGGGGGTGCGGTGGGATTATTTAAGATACTCTTTGAAGAGGTAGGGTTTCAGATGTTTTTGGAAGAGGGGCAGGGACTCTGCTGTCCTAGCTTCAGGAGGAAGCTGGTTCAACCATTGTGGTGCCAGGACAGAGAAGAGCTTTGACTGGAATGAGATCACCCATAGGGGTGGGAGGGCCAAGAGACAAGAGGTGGCAGAATGGAGTACTTGGATTCGGGTGTAGGGTTTGAGCAGAGCCTGAAGGTAGGGAGGGGCAGTTCCTCTTGCTGCTCCGTAGGCAAGCACCATGGTCTTGTAGTGGATGCGAGCTTCGACTGGCAGCCAGTGGAGCGTGTGGAGGAGCCGGGTGACATGGGAGAACTTGTGAAGGTTGAACACCAGGCAGGCTGCGGCATTCTGGATAAATTGCAGGGGTTTGATGGCACAAGCGGGGAGCCCATCCAACAGCGAGTTGCAGTAGTCCAGATGGGAGATGACAAGTGCCTGGATTAGGACCTGCACCACTTCTTGTATGAGGTAGGGTCGTACTCTACGGATGTTGTAGAGCATGAACCTTCATAAGCGAGTCACTGCTTTGATGTTTGTAGAGAATGACAGGGTGTTGTCCAAGGTCACACCAAGGTTCTTTGCACTCTGGGAGGGGGACACCGTGGATTTGTCAACCATGATGGAAAGGTCTTGGAGCAGGCAGGCCTTCCCGGGGAGGAAGAGCAGCTCCGTCTTTCCGAGCTTGAGGTGGTGGTCTGACATCCAAGCTGAGATATCTGCACGCACATGGGTGTCAGAAGGGGGAAAGAGAAAAATTGTTGAGTGTCATCCACATAGCAATGATAGGAGAGACCATGTGAGGATATGACGGAGCCGAGTGACTTGGTGTATAGAGAGGAGAGGGCCTAAAACTGAGCCCTGGGGGACACTAGTAGTGAGAGTAAGTGGTGCAGACACAGATCCTCTCCACGTCACCTGGTAGGAGTGGCCTGCCAGGTAGGATGCAATCCAAGAGCGTGCAGAGCCTGAGATGCCCAGCCTTGAGACGGTAGAGAGGAATGATCTGATGGTTTACAGTGTCTAAGGCAGCGGATAGATCTAGGAGGATGAGAACGGAGGAGAGGGTCAGCTTTGGCAGGGCGGAGAGCCTCCATGACACAGAGGAGAGCATTCTTGGTTGAGTGACCAGTCTTGAAGCCTGACTGGTTGGTTCAAGAAGATCGTTCTGAGAGAGAGAGCGAGAGAGTTGGTCAGACAGCACGCTCAATTGTTTTAGAAATAAAAGAAAGGGATACCGGTATTTTCTTTTGTGTGTGTTGGTTTCTAGAGGAGGGGAGTGACTCTGCCCATTTTGAAGTCAGAGGGGATACAGCCAGTGGTCAGGGATGAGTTAATGATGGAATTGAGGAATGGGAGAAGGTCTCTAGAGATTGTCTGGAGAAAGGAGGAGGGGATGGGGTCGAGCAGTTCTGTGTGAGTGGGACCAGTGGACTCAATAGACTGAGTGAATGAGGAGCGGATGTGGGTAGGGGCTGAGTGGGTAGGGTTGGAGGAGAGGGAGACAGAAAAGGAAACACCGTAGTGAGCCGAGACCTGGAGGGGGGTTGCTGTGAGATTAGTAGGAGAACAGCCATCTACGAACAGTCATCTGCGCCTCTCCTTTTCACCGCTGAACAAAATTAAGTATAGTTTTGTTTCTCTTCTATTTGTTTTTTTAAAGGGGAAAAGTTGAAGAGGGTGACGGAACACAATGTTTTTAAATGATATGTGAATTCAGATGCCAGTGCCAGATTTGCTGTGATGCATTTGGAATCGTGACAAGAGGGACAGACTCTCCCACTCTTAATGCTCAGTGTTTGCACATTACATTCATGAGTACTGGGGCTTATTCAGGACGGTGCAGCGTTAAGGTCTATCCATAGATCACTCCGTCATTTACCATGTGTGTGTGTGCTCTTGTGTGGAGTCAGATTCTTTGGAGCAACGCGCACCTTTTGGTAACATGATGCCCTCGCAGGTCCATGTGTTCCTCGACCCGCGAATACCAACATTCACAAGTGTGTGATAGCAGATATTTTCTTGTCGTCTTCCCATTTGTAGTAAAGCAAATAAGAACCACGTTGAAAACATCATCACTGTTAGTTAATAAGAAAAAATAAAAATGGCATAGTTGAAAAATAGCTACATGTAATGAAAGTTTCGTTTTTTATTTATATTACCTCATTTTGTGCCTGCTAGTTGGCTGTCTAAAAACAACAATCAAGCTAGCCTTTTAGCTTCCCACACCTTCCCCATGTGAAATAATCAGATTTATAATGAAATAAATAGTTTTTTTTTTTTTTTTTTGCTTTCGGCCGGTCGACGTGGCTGAATGCGGTCCGGGCCCTGGGCAAGAACATTTTACAGTCTCCTTATTGGCGGCGGAGAGAATGTTGCTATTTTAAAGTAAATGTCTTGCAATTCTAGTTACACATTATTCCATGGAGCTTAGAGAAAAATGTGCAGTTTATAAACAGCGTTTATACTTTCATCACTTTTGTTTTCACGGATTTATAGCAGCACTGGTGCTTATTTTTTTAGAGCAATTTAAATTGATTGATTTCTCTTTGTGCCAAAAGATAAACAAAATCCATATTTCTGGTTCCATTTCAACCAGTGTGGCGCAAGGAATAATACGTTCCGTTTCAAACTTTGAGCGGTGAAAAGCTGCATAGCAAGCGACAAAGTGTGCCGAGCCTCTTACAGGATGTTCAGATGGAAATGTTCGTTTGCAGAACAGACTGTCGTTCAGAATAGGCATGTCTGTTCATACATTACTTTTTTTATCTACAACATTCTGAACAGCCAGCCCCCTGTGCACCGAGCCTCACCCAAACACTCACCCCCAATAGTTTGAGTTACAGATTATATGAATTACATTTAGATGATATGATTACATTTGCACACTTTTATTTTTTCTTTATTTAACTAGGCAAGTCAGTTAAGAACACATTCTTATTTACAATGACGGCCTACACCGGCCAAACCCGACGCTGGGTCAATTGTGCGCCGCCCTATGGGACTCCCAATCACAGCCGGTTGTGGTACAGCCTGGAATCGAACCAGGGGGTCTGTAATGACGCCTCAAGCACTGAGATGCAGTACCTTAGACCGCTGCGCCACTCGGGAGCCCACTAGCCCACACTATGACACTAATTCAGTTCCTCCTGTACCTAGGCCTCTACACACCGACACACAACCCCCCCCCACCCCCCACCCCCCTTAACGGAATCCCACAGATACCGGCTCCCACACACTCCTAACCAGCATTAACACCTCCACCCCACCTGTCTAACCCACACACTCCTAACCAGCATTAACACCTCCACCCCACCTGTCTAACCCACACACTGAAACCGGTCCCTACTGTGCCATATACACTCCTACATTTTAATACCTATTCTCTCCATCACGCTGTGGTTTTTACTATAACACTCTTTCTCTAATACTGACATTCTGGCCATCTCACTGAGCGCAGTGTACTGGTCTGTTATTGGTCATATAGTACTAAATGCTGGGCAACGTGTACTGTGGTCGATTCTCCCTGTCATGATTCTCATGCAGCACTTGTGATTTTTCTCTCATGAACTCAGTTTGTGTACTTATTCACTGCCAAAGAATTCTCTACCTAAATAAATGATCATTACTATGATTGGTGTTGTTTGTTTGATTGACCCTTTAACAACTTATAAGATTTCCGAATTGAACGATACCGCCAATTATTATTCTGTTACAAACAAATAATTAATGGGATATTACCATTTAACAATCTACTTGGTCATTTCTTTACCAGAAAATAG